TTTGGTTAAGCACCTCGATCTTTTTTTTTAATATTGTAAAGATCATGGGATAATTAACCAATACGTCATGACCTGTATTCCTCAATAAATGATGTATCTGAAGCAGAAATACAACCTTAATGCACATGGTATAAAGTATGCTTGCAAACACTAACTTTCCCAAACCTTTATGGACCAAGGAATTAAAAATGACGGTCTACATCTTGAATAGTGCTCTTTTAAAGAATGTTCCTAAAACTCATTTTGAGATATGGATAGGAAGGAAACCAAGCGTAACGCCTATAGAAAACTCTAGAGTCCTCAGTTGTAGAAATTCAACATTAAAATTGTAAGTTGTTCCTTAATCACGTATCCTGAATGGCTTAAACTTTGCCAATTTTATGTTAGATGACATAGTACCTGGATTCTAGATATGAAGCATGCCAAATTTCTTGAGAATGTTAAAATCAGTGGGAGTGGTTTGACATCGAAGAATCTTTAACTATAATTCAAGTGCCTATTACAATTAACACTTTATTATGAGACTCAAGTTTTCCCTTCTAGGAAGCACTCTTAAAATTAAAAGGTAAATGAAACACCACAAAATGAATCCACTTAATAGATTGACATTGAAACTCATGAAACTCTACAGCCTACAAGACAATGTCTATGACGTAGGTGGCCCATAAGTTATGATGATTACATGAGGTCGGTCCTAACATGGATAGTGATACCATAACTTGTAATCAGTGGGAGGAAATTTTATCATGCTCATTTTATATACATATGACTATCTATTAGTGAGTAATGAAATTTATATGTTGCATGAATCAAAACATTTGCTATCATGTCACCTCGATATAAAAGCTCTTGTTGAAGCCTTGTATGTTATAGCCATATGAATACATAAATAAGGATTGTCCTAAAATGGATATCTTAAGTGTGTATTAAGTAAGGATAACATGCAACAATGCTTCCCTTCAGTTGTTTCAATTGTTAAGAGAAACGTTTTCAGTTTATTTCAATACCTAAAAACAGAGGTACGACAACATCAAATGAAATTAATATCTTATGCTTTAGTATAGTTGGAGGTTTTATGTATGCCTAAGTTTATATTCGTCCATAAATCGCTTATATTACTGGCATGATGATCCGTTTTCAATCAAATCACAGTCTTGATCATTGAAATGTTGCCAATAAATTTTTTGTGATATTTACATGAGACTAATAATTACAAACTTGTTTATAAAAGAATTTATAACTTGGAAATGATATGATTTTGACTCTACTTTGCCAAATGCAATGATGAATAGTTATTATTGGGATATATCTTTATGCTATTAGTCGGCCAATATCATGGAAGAGTCATAAGTACAATTCATGACTATATCAACTATGATGGCAATATATGTTGTCACACATAATGCAACTTGCCATGGAGTCTTGTTGAGATATTTAATCACAAGGCTCATCAGTGTAAACTCCATTTCAAGTATGTTAAAAGAAAGTGAATTGCTATAACTTTGCCTCTATAAGATTTTTACTAGCAATAATTAAAGTGGAAGGGGGTTTACCTCGATACAAAATACTTGTTCGTATGAGAGCAAAAGGAGGAGAATGATTTTTGTATCGAGCACATCGACACTTACGATATGCTAGCGGATCCGATAACGAAAGGTCTACCACCCAAACCACTTAAGCATGTCGACAATACGGGTTTAAGGGTAGACCTATTATAATATAATTCTAGCATAGTGGTTTGATGGAACTTTTAATTTTTGTTTTTCATGCACTTGATTATTATTCCTCCATAATATGTAATTTGCCTATATTAATAACTTATGCACAATTACTCTATATATAGACAAATATAATGCATGACCACTTAAACTCTAAAGTCATTTGGCTTAAAATAATTATGAGTTTCATATGAAGTGTCAAAGTATGATCAGTGGGGGTCCAGTGTCGAAAATGGCGTGTCAGGCTGTACTTTTCTGCTATTGGTATTAATATGAAACATGGTGAACTTAACTTGGCTAAGATAACATAAACATGGATACAAATATTCACCCGGCCAAGTGGGAGAATGTTGGAAAATATCCCATCAGTGTGGCCTTAGGACTATTTTGTAATGATTATTACATGTAAGGTATATTTATACTGTGTACCAAAATGATTGCCATATGACAGATCAGGTCCCTAGACTTAAATATTTGTAGTATGATGGATATGACAACTGTCTATAACTTGAGGGACTATATTGTGTGGTTCCATACTCTTTCCCATAAGGTGTAAATGATGTATTTATTGGTTACACATGTGAATGATCATAAGATGTGAAAGGCTCCCCATTTATGATCTAAGTTCCTATATAACACCATAAGCATGTGTATCAATGGAGAACTAGCAATCTATCCATCAGATTAGAATCATAAGGTGCCATTAAGGGAAGATAAAGGGATCAATAACATGGCGTCATCTTCTTCTTCGATTCTCACACTTCCAAGTAAGTCAAACTATTTGCTAAATTGATCCTGTATAATTTTACAACATACATACATATTAATACATTAAATACTTCATTGTACATTCAATACATTATTTCCATCAAATCATACATAGTATCCACATACTACACAATCACCTACTTTGTTATAACCTATTATCCATTCTAGGATTTCTCATTTTAATGTATATATCCATGTGATTTTTAATACACCACCAAAGATAAATACACATACTATACATATACACATATAAACATATGCATACACATACATATAGTGGTGGATGCATGACAAAATCCCAATGGCGGCACACATGGTTTTATGGGTGGCACACCGAAAATTTACATTATGCCGAAATTTTTTTGAAAAAAATTAAACTGTGATTTAAAATTTAAGAGGTTGCACCGACCACCCCGAGAACCCCTTATGCCTACATATAAACATATACACACATAAGTAGATATAAGCATCTATACAAACATATAAACATATATACATAAAAAATTGATGATGTAGATATGGTTCTTTGAGTAAAAAGAAAAGTTTTATTTTACAACTACATGTATTGTTTCATTAGAATTCTTATTCTTTGTATTTCTTTATGCATTAAATATGCTTAGTATATGATTTCTTTATTTGTCATTTTGAACTAAAAGTTTATTATTATTATTATTATTATTATTATTATTTTGTTTGTGTGTGGGCATGTGTATGTATATGTATGTGTGCCTTCGTTATACATTAAATATGCTTAGTTTATGATTACTTTAGTTGTCATTTTGAACTAAAAGTTTATTGTTATATATATATATATATATATATATATATATATATATATATATATATAGAGAGAGAGAGAGAGAGAGAGGAGTAAGTTCAATTGAGAAAATAAAAAAGGTTGAGAATGGTGGGAATCATGTCAGCCACTCATTTTTTTTTTTGCCGCAAAAACATTCGTCGTAGCAGCGGAAATGGGAAAGGAATAGACATGTGTTTTCCAACAAAACACGTTTCCTTAAACTATGCTAATCGTTACCTTAATATATACAAAAACATAGTTTTTTTTGGTTTTTTTTTAATTTTTAAGAAGCTATTTTTATTGAAAAATGATTTTAAATATACCAAAATTCATGATTTATTATTCTTTACAAATAGACATCCATATTGATACAATTTTAAGATAAAATAATTTTTTTTTTATATTTTCAGCTATCGTTATTCATAAGTGAATAAAAATGCATCAGGTTTTTACTAAAGTACATTCGTTATTCACTTATGAATAAAAAATATGATTAATTTTTTTTTACAATTTAAGTATCATTCATATATGAATATAGCATATAATAAACATAGTATATTCATATTTAAATATTAGACGATGCATTCACTTGTAAATATTACATAATATATTCACTTGTGAATATTAGATGGTATATTCACTTATGAATATTAGATGATATTTTCATAAGTGAATATTACATAATATTACATGGTATATCGCATGTGAATATTACATAGTATATTCACTTGTGAATATTAGATGATATATTCACATATGAATATTACACAGTATATTCAAATATGAATATTACAAAGTGTTTTCACAAATATATATAATTTTTATATGTTCTTCACATATGAATAACATACAAATTTGCATATTTGTTTTTTGTTTCAATAATCATATACTGATTCAGGTGAGAAAACATATTCATATGTGAATATAACGTGATAATTTAGTTTATGCATTTCATCAAACAGTTGGAGTGCATACAAGTTAACTTTTTTAAAAATGTTAAAAACATGATACTTTGACTATTTAAATCTTACAAAATAGTAGATTGATAGAGAATTATATGAAATTTTTCAAAAAAAAATGATTTGATCTTTTTCTAACCTTAATTTTGAAGTTTTATTTGATTATCGATGTTGAATGAATGATATGAAGTTGATTTTTTGTTGATTATCGATGATGTTGATCTAATGACGTTGGGAGTATAATTAATCGTAGATGTTGAAGATCTGATCATATTTAAGCAGAATCGAAGGTTGGATTAAAAGAACCAAAAACAAATTTTTGTTGTCAACTGTTGAATGGTGTTGATAAATGTGTTATTGACGAAGATCGATGATTGATTAACACTGGATGACGTTGATGATGGTTTAATTGAAGAAATCTGGATGATTGTTGAAGGTTGGAGGAGAAATTTAGACGATGAACGATCGATTAGGAATCGGTTTGAACTGTACGTATTTGAGATTGAAGGTTATTATCATATTTACAAGTTTGCCACCGTGTCTTTTTATGCTTAGATAAAATGATTGACTAAGAATGATTCTCTCATTCTCAACCTTTTTTTTCTCAATTGAACCCTCATATCTCTCTCTCTCTCTCTCTCTCTCTCTATATATATATATATATATATATATATATATATATATATATATATATATATATATATATATTAAAAGTTTGTTCCCTTAGGAACAGTAGTTTGTTCCTATTGGACCAAAATGAATTTTTTTTCTATTTTCGCCGGCTCATTCCCACCGACTCCAAATTCCAATGGCACTAACTATCTAAGCCAACAGGGATTAGATTGTTGTCCTGGGTTAATATACACCGCTTCTTCTTTCGCTTATTCCTCCACCGCCTTACATGGGTTAATCTCCACTACTTTTCTCCCTCAGTTGTATCCTTTCACCGCCATCGTCTCATTATCAAATTACATCTACCACATCTCTTTCTTTCTTACGCACACCTTCTCTGTATCTATCACAGATCATTCTTCAATGTCGCAGCAAGGGTTTGGTTGGGATAACTACTACCTCTCATGGTCTCCGAATTAACCTCTCATGGTCTCTATAAATCTGAAAAACGCCGCGAGCAACTACCGTTATCTAGTTTCTTCCTCACTTTAGCTCCGCCGCTTCACTTTCGATCAGAAACCACCGTCACCCTCCAACTCCACCGCCACTTATCGACCGTTCGCTTCAACTTTTGTTGGCCACTATCGGTCAAGAAGCCCTAAAATCTGTCGACCGTCATCGAATGGTGCACCCCATCTTTAGTTCTCATTCTCCACATTCATCTACCTCAACCCACCGCCAGAGAAAGAACTTTGTTGGGGCTATTCTTGATTTGATTTTAGTTTCAACTTCATTAATTTGTTTTCCATTGTTTAATTACACAGACCCAAAAAGCGAGAAAAAGAGGAAGAAGGAATGACCGGTGGTGATGGAGATGTCACGGCAGCTCCGGCGGATCCACCACTGGCACTAGACTGGAGGTTCTCTTAGGTATTTGGCGACCGCACAGCCGGTGAAGTAGTTCAAGAAGGTAAATTAGCTTCTCTACTTATTTAATTCGAATCCCCAGATTCGTATGTTTATTAGGGTTTGAATAAAGTGTGTCTTTGATCTGTTATTTGGATCGCTATATTGTTGTATCTTAGGTATTTGGCGAACGCACCGCCGGTGAAGTAGTTCAAGAAGGTAAATTAGCTTCTCTACTTATTTAATTCGAATCCCCAGATTCGTATGTTTATTAGGGTTTGAATAAAGTGTGTCTTTGATCTGTTATTTGGATCGCTATATTGTTGTATCTTAGGTATTTGGCGAACGCACCGCCGGTGAAGTAGTTCAAGAAGGTAAATTAGCTTCTCTACTTATTTAATTCGAATCCCCAGATTCGTATGTTTATTAGGGTTTGAATAAAGTGTGTCTTTGATCTGTTATTTGGATCGCTATATTGTTGTATCATTTGCGATTTTATAACTAATTACACTTTTTTTCTATTTAATGGTCATACTTTGCTTAATTTGTTGAACTAAACCAATTAAAAACGACAAATTTGCAATTGATTGTTGATCAAGGTACAATCAATCAATATTTTCCCTTTTCTTGCTTTCAATTATGTTCATTAAATGCATGTTTTGTTTTTTGGTGATTTAAGTACATGTAAGATTTAATCAACTATAAAAAAAACCACTTCAAAAGGTTATTGACTGCATAGATGCAGTTTTCCATAGATGAATATAACAACAAATCTTTGGAACTTCTTTTCTTTCTTTATGTATACAATCAAGGCATACTTTATCATTACATAAATAGGTAATTTAGTACTTTTATACATAATATTTTTTGTCTACATGCAACAAACAAATCATTTGTATAAAATCTTGCATTATTTTGAATTTGTGTCACAGTTGATATAATTTCAACTATAGAGTTTGATAAAAGTGGTGATCATCTTGCATCGTGGTGTTAGGGTGGTGTTATTTGAGAGGACTGATATAAAGGAGGTCAGAATCACTAATACAATTATAATTTCTTGAAAAAAATATATATTTTTATCATATTTTGTATTTTTAAATCATGTTTAAATGTGTAGCATGGTGGACGTAGAAAGGATTTAGAGAAGACAGATTACCCAAGTGGTAGGCATCCTAGGTTCCGCTACAAAACCGAGTTTCAAAGCCATGAACCCGAGGGTTTTTCTTTTGGTTTTTTTTTTTTTGTTTTTTTTCATTAATTTTATCACATTAATGAGTGTTGTGAGTTAAGTGATGCAATGAAATTTTTGCATGAGACAGTTAAAATGAAATTCTGAGTTAGTTATCAAACTTTGTTTTATTTCCTTTGTAATTTTTGGATGGGAGTTAAAGCAAGTCATATATTTTACTAGAAGATTCTACCAAATTTAATTTAGAAGCATCGGGTAAAAATTTATGAGTCCAAATGGGAACCACTTTCACAGTATTCAAATTGACACCTCTTATTTTTTATTTGTTAGAGCCAAGTATTTTACCTCAAAAGTATAATTTTGTTTCTAACGTCTAAATGTGAAAAAACATAACTGGAAAGTCTGTCAATCATTGAATAGCCGAGAGTTGGTAACTCTCATCTTAGTTTTTTATGTTGCTACACTTGTTGTCAACTTTTGTTTTTTAGGGCAAATAAGTCCAAATTAATGATAATGTTGTCAAATCAAACTGGACAAATTTTCCCCTAATGTTATGGTTGCTTGAAATCATACTTCTGCTCAGGCTCCACAAATCGGAGACTAATTTTGATTTTTTTTTCCCCTAATGTTGGTGTTGCCTATAGCCTATTCGGGCGATCTCAGCCATTGTGTTCTTTTTTTTTTAATTGCTTAGTCTTTTTTCCTAAAATTTTTCTACACTTCGTTCAGCCCTTTGCAGGTGTCTTATATATGTTATTTCTCTGTGAAAAAAGGCTTATATTACTTTGTTTTGTTTTGTAAACGTGTATTAGGGTGATCTCAGCCCTTTGCTGGTGTCTTATATAGGTTTGTTTGCTTAAGTCGTGTGTTGCAAGCTAGTGTTTGTAATTCCGGTTGAAGTAATTTACATTCTTGATCTGATTCAATTTAGAAATAAAGAGTATAACGAAATTGACACTTAAACCCATCATAAAAAAATGATTTAATATGTGGGATTTACAGGTGGGAGATGTAGGGGCTGTAGAATATACACACAATATCTTTTAACAAATAATGTGGCGATCCTCAAAATCACATTATGCTGAAAAGTTCCACCTTCCTCTGCAAGAATAATGTTTCACTTGCCTATCCCTCACACCAATTGACGAACATTTTTATCAGAGGCAACATGAGACCACCTATGCTAGGGAAGTCATCCAAAATCTCAAAAGTAGTTTTCCTGAAGAACAAGCTACAGGTAATTAAGAAATCACAAAAAAAATAACGTTATAATTTTGGGTTGTTTTGCCGTTTAACCACTAATGTCCAATGAAACCGTAAAATTTTTAGATATTTTTCCAAGTTAGCCATTTTAACCTGTTATATCATGTTATTCTTTTTTCAATAGACTTTTAGTTAAATTAGAGGTTTGATAGAATAATGTGACAATAGTTTCCTATAACAAATGTTGGTCTATTTTTTTCTAGGGGCTATTTATATATGAACAACATAGTGATTCTGAGTTGGCCAAAATCAAAGATCGGTAAGATTCTTAAATCACTAAGTCCTTTACCTGATATGGAATTTGAAAAAAACGGTCCGCTTTACATAATTGGTCCCTCCCTACTATGGATTTTACAGAAATGGTCCCCTTTACTTGCTCGATATGGCAAAATCACTAAAATGGTAATTTTGACCAAAATGACCAACTTAGTCATTTTGACCAAAATGGTCAAATTTGTCATCAACAAAAGTAACATAATTGGTAAAAATGATTTCTTTTTTACATGTTATTATGCCATTTTTAAATTGACCAAAAAATATTATTTTAATTATCTTTTATGTGCTTGAACTTAGCAAAATGACCAAAAAGTCAATATTTGAATTAAAGGGTTAGCATGACCAAAATAGTTAGAATGCTTTCTTTTTTTTACAATTATCTTTCTATAAAAGTTGAATCTTCTTATTCTTTATCATTTATGTCTGTATTTTTCTTATCAAAGCATCATACTTAAAGTACAATGCCATAAATAGGTATACTTTCAAAATAAGCACCCAACTAATTTTTTTTTCTAATAACTTAGCTCACTTGACTTTTCTTTGTAATGAATTACTACATTTTTAGTCGTCCTTTGTAGGTGCTAAATTGTTGGGTCTAAATTTGGTTTATACTTTGCTTTTCTAGGAAAATATATTTTTATATAATGTTGTATGTGTTTGCGGTTTGTGTGTACGGCCCATATCTCATATATATAGGGTGAGGAGTGTGAGAAAGTGTAAGGCTGCAAGGCTAGAGAGAAGATGAGCATGTTCTAGAGAGAGAAACTAGAGAGAGGAATAGTGTGTGAGAGAGAATCTTGTGTAAGGAGCATTATTCATATCTTTCAATACATTCAACATTCAAGTTATTCTTCTTCTCCTTCTTCTTTATTAGACCTGGCATCATCCGTTTGATTGTGATTCCGCACCATCAAACGAATCTGATTGATACACAAACAGATTGGGCACTTACAAGTAGTATCAGAGCTTGGATTGTATCAATCAATTTTTCCAGATCTGGAGCGTATTTGACCTTATTTTTAAACGATTTTTCCGTTTTTGGATAGATCTCTGAAAATTAGGGGGGTTTGTTCTTTGCATTTTCATAAAAACGAGTTTTTGATTGAGTTTTGGAGCAAAAAGTGTGAAAAACGTCGTTTTTTCTTCGCATCTGTTGAAGGTGTACGGCTGGCTCGGTGTACGGCTCGGAGTGTACGACCTCGGTGTGCGACTCAGCAGCTTCTCACGTGTACGGCTCGACGGTTTACTGTTCTCGGTGTATGGCTAAGCGGCTTCGGACGGTGTTCTCGGCTAAGCGGCTTCGGACGGTGTGCGAGGCTTCAGTCGGAGGTGCTGGTCAGCTCAAGACTTCGCAACATCTTATTAAAAAAAAAGTAAGGGGAATTTGGAGTTGCCAGGAATCGAACTCGCGCTACCCCTTCATCAAACCAATGCCTTACCATTTGAACCAGCTTGCTGGATGGTTTCTTCCTTCCCAATTTAGTTAAAAAGGCTTCTTATTTCGCACCTATTTTCGCAAAATTGACACTTTTAGCCCAAAATTCAAATTTCTTTTGTTTTTAAATTCTATTTTCTTCCAAAAAATTTAGCTTTTAATTTTTAAATTTCTAAATTGACCTTTGACCTTAAAATTTTGACTTTGACTTTCAAGTTTTACCTTTGACTTTAAACTTTGACTTTCTCGTTTAACTTTCAAATTTTCAAATTTAGTTTTTCGGTTTGACTTTTAAGTTTGACTTTTTAAATTTGACTTTTAAGGTTGACTTTCTCGGTTTATAGTCAAAGGGCATTTTTGATAAACATGAGTTCCTCAAACATTCCGGTCAGTGAAAATGTTTGTTCTCAATCTTGTATTAAGACTGTCAAGTTTTTACGGGAACAAATCGACTTGATTAAAAGAGAAAATGAGGATCTAAAATATGAGAGGTATACTATTAGGAAAGAACAAAAACCTTTAAAAGAAAAATTAGAGGCCAAAACTAAGGACTTCAGAAAATTGCAAGAAGATTACAACAACAAGTGTGTAAACTATGATCACATTAAAAGCAAACTTGCTGCTGTAACCAAAGAACTTGACACTTTGAAATTTAAGTGTAGAAAAACAGATGTTAGTTTCAAAAATTATACTGCGTCAAGTAAGACAGTCGAGTCCTTATTTGAAAAAACAATTGAGTTTTAAAGATAATCAAACCAAGGGTCTAGGGTATGATAAAGTCCCTACTCCATTTAATCATTCGTATTATGTTAATCCTTTGACCCAGGAAGAGATTGACCGAGAACCATTTATGGTATACGGTAAACCAGCTGCTGAACAGGCAACTGAGGGTGTTGAGATGAAAGATACTAATGATTCTACTTCCTGTGCAGGTAAAGCAGTAGAGGATGAGAACAAGGAGAAAACTACTGAACAAACAAACGATCCCTTGAACTCTGAATATGTTGCTTCTAACTCAGCTACTCCTAACAAACCTGCGGTTGAGAA